TCACAATGTGCCCACATGATCAAGGGTAATAAGGAAGTGGGATAACATTGAAGCTTCAACAAAAAGTGTAGTGGGCCTCACATACACTCGAGTCTGAGATTGACGAGGATTGGTGTGATTTCGACTTAAAGGTATCAACGCATCAGTTATTGTCTAGTAATAGGTTTTCGGTTTGAGAAGGTTGATTATTGGTTGTTTAAGGCCTCTAACAGCTATCAAGATAAGAACTTGAAGGTTAGGGAAGAACTTATTCAACTCAGTTAGGTTCTTCACATGTAATTGTATGAACTCAATGTCAACCTCGTTAGCCCTGGCTTTGGTTTCAAATGCTCAACAGAAGGACATGCATTCTTCACCTCTAATTCATCAAGAATGGTGGACAAGATAGTGGTGAAAAGTTGTCAAAAACTATAGTATTTGACTTTTTAGTATTCAAGTTATTTGATGTTTTAGGATGGAGAAATAATGATTGGGTGGTTACATGTCAAAATGATTCTAAATTTTTTTGGAATTGCATGTAGAATTTACATGTTCCATCATCATACCACTACTACCATATAAGTGTTCGTAAACAAAACGTATGCGCAAATATGATCCTCTTATAGCTCACATACTTATTGAATAAATTTCTTAATCCTCAATAACAATACTTTCCTAAGGACCAATAATCGGAGAATGGAATATGGCACATATTGGTTATATGTGGTTTTGCATCCGTGCATCGATTAACCATTCGAATGACAACTCAATATTAAAATATGATACATTTTTAAAAATTATGATGCTATTTTTGTCCAAAGAAATTACATAAAAGTAATGTAATAATGTTTAAAAATACATTGCTAATTCTTCTAAATTGTGTCCGGATGCTCATAAATATATTTTAAAATATATCCAAAGTTTATTTAAAACTATGTTGCTATTTCTTGCATAAGGTTTAAAAGTACTTTTCTATTTCTTGCAAATGGTGTGCTCTGTGCATTTGTGCATAAAAATATGGTGTATGCTAGAATTAAGAATAAATAGAAAAGTATTTGAATCGTAGGATTGATTAGAAATCAAAGGATTACAAAGACCTTTTTTGGCTCTCCAATAGATTAACACTTTAATTGAATACGTTCCAAGATATTGACCAACTCAACCCAAACTTCCGGTCTGAATGCTATGTACCGTAACGCAGTACAGAAGAACGCCAAATTGCTATTGTACCGCTTTCGAAATGTAGGATTATATGAAACCGATAAAATGTGTGTTATATGGACAAAAATAGTCAAATCATCACTAAAATTTAGCTTGGGATTTATTCACAAATTAAGGTAAAATAACGAGACTTTAATGTAACCAGATAACTAATGAAACCGGGAAAAAGGGGTGAATCGTCATTTTTAACGGTAATTCATGCTTTTCGTAAACAAATTTTAGTTTGGAACTTTTTCGTAAATATGGTAAAATATTAGGACTTTTCTAGAGATTTCTCTTTCTTTGGACATACATAGCAACCTACTTTTTAAAGCCCCAAAGTGTTTTTTTGGACAAACAGGTACTTATAAAAACTGTTATTAAAAGCCTTAATTGGTATTACAAGTAGTCTTAAGTCCCAACACATACATTTTGAAGAGAAAGTTTAAGCCAAGTTTTAAGCATTAAGTAATAAATAGAAACGTAATTTTATACACTAAGCAAGAAAAGCCGACTACTTGGATGTTTAGAAGTGTGTTCGTATTTCTTGCTTATTGTCTTAAGGGTACATTTCTATTTCTTAATTATTTTTTTTAGAGGGAAGCACTTATTAAACTCCGTTAGGTTCACGTCATCTAATTGTATAAACTTAATGTTGATTATTTTGATAACCAAAAACATAAACACAGAAGCATATACTTTGGATCTTTAATCTCAAATCTGATTAAATGAAAACTTGAACATTAAAGAACGATTACATACCTGATTTCAATATAATCTTTGGATCTGAAGAACTAGGGTTAGGTTTGCCAGTTGATCTGAAGACTACCTCTAAAATCCCCAGCAATAAAGAAAACAAATTTGTTGTGTATCTTCATATGCCCCTCATCACATGTATATATAGATGGAGATATACCATAATGTGAGAGATGTAAGGGATCTAGAGGATCTTGAGTCAAACCGGGAACTCAACCCACTAGGTAAGTACATATTCTATAAATCGGTCCTTCTAAAATTTATATTCTTACCATAATAACTAGATTTAATGATAACAATATATATATATATATATATATATATATATATATATATATATATATATATATATATATATATATATGATGTAGTCCCATAATTGTCTAACAATCTCCTACTAGACCACAAATATATAAATATATTTATAAATGTATAAGCACTTTAATGAATGCTATTATAACAATGGTACCCTTAAACAATCTATTCCACTAATCATAATAGTATAGGATAAAAGCGGTCTTCGTTACAATTTACATAACTAAACCTATAAATGGTCGCATATACATATATAACTAACGACGTAGATTAAACATGATGTGTAGTTTTAAAATCTAAATATATTTCTGAAGAGTTCCTATTTAGATTGAAGTGAGATCAAACATCAAATAAGTGCAACTAAAAATGGAGTTAACTGAATTCATAATTTTGTACAGAAAAATATTATTGTTCTTAAACAAAACATAAAACCCAAGAAAAAACTCCCACTAAAACCAAATACCACACCAACATGTGTAGTATGCTTATGAAAGACCTAGGAGGCAATCCCTTTATGATCGGATCTGTTTTCATGGAGTTAGTTCATATGTGCTATATATATTTCCATTTTTCAGTATTATATTAATAGAAGGAAACTTGATGTCAATATGCTTTAACTTAATAGAACTTCTGTTATTGGAATATAACATTGTTGACTTATTGTCACAACTTTAGTGGTCTTTCAATACCAATAATGTGTATCCTTGGGACAAATTTCCACAACCATATTCATGCTACAAATTATTCTGCCATTATGGAAGAAGCTACCGAAGTCTATTCCATGAAATGACTCATCATTCTAAAATGTAAAAATATCCCGATATGGATCGGTAACCATTTGGGTATCTAATAAAATCATATTCTTAATAAAAATGATCTCCAAAACATATGATTTTCTATAGTTGAGCATATAGCCTTTTGTTATATATAGATATCTCAAAATCCATTTGGCTGCTTTCTTATGATCTAAACTTGGGTTGCATAGATATATGACCAAAACCAGAAGGTTAAATTTACTCTCACTCAATCTGTGATACACAAAATCATCCATTTTATTTACCTAAAAAGCAAAAGAGATAATAAATTGATGAAACGTTGGTACCATGCATAGGATATCCGAAGTTGAGGTTGCTGAGTTTGTGTATTATGAATAGGAGATTGAATAATATTGTCGATCACTGATTTATAATTTGCATACTATCGAAATCAATAATAGGAATCAAGATTGATTCCTCCTTAGGGACAATGGTTTAACCTTTCTTCTCCCCCAAACTCAACATCCTCAAATAATGTTGATATATCTAGAATACAAGGTCAATATCCTTGCAGTTGAGAACTAACATAATGTTCTTATTTCATTCCTTAAAGTTAATATCACCGAGTACATGAATCATAAATGTGATCAATGTTAGCAAATATAATACCATAATTCAAATTTGTTATTTTGAGAACATAAGCAAATCTATTTTTCTCATTAATCCATAAACTGTAATCAATAAATTTAATTTATGACATCTTTACAAGGTATCAACACAACATTCATATCAAGTCTTTGGACAGTAGTACTAACTTGCAAGAGTTATCTTTGTTTTATAGATAAACATTAACAATAAATCATGTCAATTAACAAGCTTATCTTTGGATTGATTTATTAATCACATGGAACCAAAAAATTATCACATGTTTATCACCACATATATGTTTATTAGGCCAAATATTAGTTGACATTTGGGTCAGCTAATACCTGCATGAATAAACACATAAACTATAAATTTTGATAATAAAAATTGACAATATATCATGTCAATTAATAAGCCCTTCTTTGGATTGACTTATTAATGACATGTAACCTAAAAATTATTGCATATTTATCATCAAACATGTATTTATCTGGCCAAATATTAACCTACATTTGGCTCGATTAGTATCCGCATTAATAAGCACAAACAAAAAATTTAAGTTCTTTGTAAATTAATTTTCACAAAAGAGATCACATTGGCGATATATTGTGTCAATTACTTTACCCTTAATATAAATAATATGTCATAAATGAAATTTATCAATAACCCAAAATACGTTTATAAATTTCCAAGAACACTATCGCATGTTTTCATGAAACCAAAATTTGTTAATACAATGAAAAATATTATCATACAAGCTGACCATATTAAAAAACCAATTTAATAAAACGGTTTCATAAAACATTTGCGAGACTTAAATTAAATTGAAAATTAAAATTAAAAGAAAATTCGAAGTTCATCTTATGTTATACTCAAAATGAAATTCAATTTCATTGTCAACTCAAAATGAAATTCAATTTCATTGTCAACCCAAATCACTACTACAAAAATGGCTTATGAACCCAGTTAAAAGCTTCATATATCCTGCTTTGCAACCGGGTCTTTTATGGGGTGAGTCTTATGTGAAAATCCTAATAAATCGTGGTTTACCAATCGATTCATATTTATGTAATATATCTCGGTTTCTATAAGCAAAACGGGTCCTTTCATGCTAAACATGCAGGCTTTTGTGCAATCATATTGCCCGGTTCACAAGCAAACTGGGTTCTTCTATACAAATCAGATGCTATTTTGGCTGATTAAACAATCCGGTGCTTATGCATACAACCGGGTCTTTTATTGTTTTTATTTTCTATTATTTTTTATCTGATTTATAATCCATGTACCAACAAATACTATTTATAATCATTCATATCTTGTGTAACAAAGACAGAAAAATGAGAGTCATCCCTTGATGTCAATTTAAAATGATATCTATAAGCAAACAACAAAGATATCAATCACAAATGAAAAATGAATCACCAAAAGAAAATCACTGATGAACAACAAAAGCAAAAATATACGAATTATGATTGCTTCAAAATGAGCATGAAAACATCCAAGAAAGGTAAATGAATTTTGCAACTATGTGGGATTACACTTGAAAGCAAGACAAAAGTAACAATTGCTGTAATTTTCCTTAGAATCTAGAGAACGAGAGAGAAATTGAGAGGTCCAAGTGCCATTAATATAGAGATAGCCAACGATTCTTTATTGATGCATATTGGTGTTCTCGAAGCCCACAGTAGTTGAATGTCTAGATGAACAGACAGCCCCAAAAAGATCCCAAACAACACCAAATCCCACCTTCATATTAGTTGGCACTAAAACCCCAAATGTTGATGCATTGAAGATACTTCGAAGGGTGTTCCTAGAATAAATCCACAAGACACCACAAATAAATAAGTCTAGCACATTGCAGAAATCAATAATAAAATCGTAAGATGCAACTCTGAGCAAAGAAACTAAACCACATTGGATTAGAAAAAATAAACATCTATGTGCCTAAATGATGTTTGACTAAAAAAACTATTACTGTATATCCAAAACCCTGCAAAAAAAAATATCAAATGAATCGATTCCAGTTGACATGGGTAAGATTTTGGGGTCACTACAACAGGTTCTGAATTCGCTTTTTCTATGTGATGTGGTGGTTAGCGACGGCGGGTAAGGGAGTGGATGTGGGCGTTCGGTGATGGCAAAGAACTGCCGCACGAAACCGGCGTCAATGGTGAGGTGGTTGATTTGGGCGTTCGGTGGTGGGTTTTCACTTTTCACTGATATTTATAATTATTTGGGGAAACCTATATGAGGAAGGAGTGAGAATTTGGGGGGAATTCAAATTATTTGGGGCAGTTCAATTTTTTTTTTGGAGGGTGGTTAAAATAGTTAAAGTTTTAAAAACGTATATTTTTGACATAAAATTTTCATAATTTAATTGTATAAATTTTTATTAAAATATGAATTTTTTATAACTTCCCAGTTCCAAGATATTAGTCTAGGTACAACAATTTTTATTATTTACACAATTTTATTTAGAAGCAATTTTTATAATTTTTAAACTAGAAGCTTTTATCAAAATTTTAACGTTCATTTTTTTAATTCAATGTATAGCTACATATTGTGATTACATAGCCAGTTTTATAGCCAAGTATTTATGAAATTTGAATTTGTAGTCTAATTCCTAGTTGAATGGTTAGAGAATTTGACAATGTAGCTGAATATTATGCAATCGGACTATGTAGCCAATTTTGTAGTTATTCGTAATTTAGGTACGTAATTTCATTAGTAAATTACCTACGCAAATTTATTTTGAAGCATTTTTTCATAGTTATTTATCTGATTTCTTGTAGCGAATACTTATTTTGCATCACATCAAACAAATTGAATAAATCCTCATGTTAAACTCCTCTTCATGTTAAATATAAACACTATAACCCAAATTTACCAATATGATCTCATATGTACTCTCGGTTGAAGGATTTAACAACTTATTTGCCACCTTCTAGGAAGCATCAATCTATATCTAATAGTTAGTTGTTCACCTTGATGGTTTGGATGGATGGATCTATAAAGTTAGCAACTTTATGGATCCTTGAGGTCCATTTGTATTATATGTTGCGGATCTACTATTTCATGGAGTCCTTGATCTTGTGCATAAGCTTTGAGCTACTTTCTTTCATTTTTAACTTAGCTTGGAAAAGACATGCATTGGATATACATATCCATAAAGCAACACTTTTTATGATGCATTTGGATGTAAGAAAGCCACCACGAAGTATCGGCAACTAGCTTGAGGGATTAAGAGATTAACCAATTAAGCTGGCCATAACAGGTGTCATGACATGGTGGTTTGATCACCATGACGTGGTGATAGGAAGCCTTGCAACTGTTTGTATGCCAGGTGCCATCACATGGGGTTGACTTTGATTGTTGATTTTGATCGTTGACTTTTGACCAAGTTGACATTTGGTCAACTTGAAGGTTTTTGGTTATAAATTAAGGATTTACTTTGAATTGATGAATAGGTGGTTCATACCATGGAGAGGCCCTTATGGAGTTAGAGCAATTAAATAGGGCTCACAATCCCTCAATTAGGTTTTAGATGTTGGGCTCCTATGCTCACTGTAAATTCCTCTACGCTCAACGTAGGGCATTAAACTCACGTATGAAATCTTTTACCTGCGCCCATTGTAAGACGCTATCATACGCTCAGCATAAGGCACCCAAAATGCACAATGGCAAAATTAACCTTAAGAATTATACCTAAGTATAAGGGTGTTACAGAAGGATCATGCGTGCATGCTTGTATATGTATTGTTGTGTGAGATATTTTGGGAAACTAACCAAGCTTTAGCTTATAGTTGTGAATTTAAATCTTTACGGTAGTTGTGGATTTAGAGTATCAGGGGAAGGCGAGGGCGTGATTATACACATCATCTATGGATTTATGTTTGAGATATTTTATTTGATACTTTGATGTTATGATTATGTTTTAAAACAATGATTAGGATGAATTATGATTTCTATGAAAATGTCATTTAAAATGAAAAAAAATACCATGGCTTTTGGAACGTTACATGCTCGTTATATGGATCATCATACTTGTGAAATATCATCACAAAATACTTATATGATTTACTAAAAAATCTACTAGCTATGAAATAACTAGTTAGCTTTATTATGCGAGGCCGTTAACGATAAAGTAAAGTTTTACAAACATTGTCTTACTAGAAAGGGAATGCTCATTCCATTAATAAGAGGATCGGATTAATTCCATTAAAAATGGAAATTTAAAGATTACCATATTACCCTTGCTCCTTTCATCATCATCACTATCGCCACCCTCCGTCACCACCACACTACCACCACTACCTCCACCACTACCTCCACCACCTTTGCAACCACCATCACCATCGTCGCTACCACCACCACTACCTCCATTATCACCCACAACCACCGCCACCTACACCATAATCACCATCTTCATCGCCACCACTGTCTATCACCATCGACAACACCATTATCTCCTCAGTTACCAACCATTGCCACCACTCACTACCATAGCTACCTCTACCTCCACCTTATTCGTCGTTACCCATCACCAACGCTACCTCCATTACCATCCACCAACCACTACGATTGTCACTGTTGCCACTACCACCGCCCCATCCTTCATCACCCACCACTAATGTTACCACCAAAATTTACTATTTTTATAAATTATATAATATATATGTACCACTTGAAATCTTGATATGTTCATTATGGCCCCTTGTGTGTTTGATAATTACAATTTGGTCCTTATGTTGTACGTGGGGCATACCACAAGCTACTCTTAGCATAAAAGTTACAAAGCGAGTATGTGGGGTGTACCACATGGTACACTTAGCGTACTCATACGAGGGTTTAACGGGCATCCGGACACGTATGTGGAGCGTACGTGGCATATATTGAAAACCCTAATTTCGGGGTTGGGCACTATATATTTATCATTATGGCTGAAGAAAACCTTATTTGTCAGCCTTCTCTTACCCTTAAGCCTCACATTCGAAACCCTAAGCCCCTTATTGTGTTTTTGAGCTCATTATGTCCATTTGGTGTGTTTTCATCCATATCCAATACGAAGAAGCATGGACCAAGGTGTGGATCAAGGAAAAGCTAGTGGATCTTGATTGTTTGCTTCATTTCTAGCTGGTTTGAGGTACAAAGCTATGAAATTGCTCATTAGTGGCTTAGATCTATCATTTATGAGTTTTGGTCCCTTTTTGGCCACAAGGATGTGATCTAGTGGTTTGATGCCACTCCATGAGATATGAGTTGCCACTCTTGGTGTTTTTGAGGTTCTAGATGCATAATGTTGTCACATTTAGGTTTTAGATTCATCCATGCAAGACTTCATGTCCATTTGTTGATAGCAGGGTGTTATATTTTTAAATTAGGTCCTTATGGGGCATGCATAGTCACCAAATCAGTGACTTTATGGATACAGACACTTACTAGAACTCATATTTATGATTTGGACTTCTGGACTTAAACACTAAGAGCTTAATGGAGGATTTGGTTTAATGGAGGAGTATGTTAGGCGTATAGGTCTTTACACACAATGTACAAGCCAAACAATATGTACGTATAACATACAACTGAGTATTCCCCGTGTACTGAGTAAGGGGGGATTGTTCATTTTGGGCTTCCAATTGGGCCTTCCTTTTGAGCTGGGAGTTTGGGTTCTTGGTGGGCCATCTAAGAAGAGGAATTTTTGGACTAGGAAAATGTTTGGGCTTTAGGGTAAGGCCCATGTAAGGGGTTAGGGACCAATTTGGAAAATTAGGCTAAGTATGAGCCATGAATGATTATTTAGTTTTTGGCCTTTTAGATTTTGAGTTTGGGCCTTAGTCTTGGGCCAAACTAGGTGAGGGGTAAAATGGTATTTTTACCCCAATAATAGACTGTTGGACTTATGGTTATGTTTTGGAACCTAAATGTTAATTGGGTGTTATTTTGGTATTGATTAGCTTAGAGATTCGTTGGACCAGCAACCATGGATTTTTTTAGTGAGATTCATCAATCGAAGTGAGTTTCCTCACAGGGGTTTAGCAGATCTAAGGCACCAATGCCGACCCTTATAATTATGTTAGGATGCTAGGAGTTTGTGTGACCCTAACATGTATTAGGTGCTGCTATGTAGACCAAGCGAGGCACGATGAATGAACCACATGCTATTATTATGATCATTGTATGTGCTAGCATGAGTATGTGATATGTTTTGTATGTGTATGGTGGGCGGGGCCCGACATCAGACGGAACCTAAGAATAACATATATGTATACCGAGCGGGGCTCGATGCCGGACAAGGTTTGATGGAGGGCGGGGTGGTGGTGGTAAGTAGTGACGTTGATGGTGGTGATGATGGTAGTGGAAGGTGGTGGTGACAGTGGCAGTGGTGGTGGTAGTGGTGGAGATGATAATGGGGGTGATGGTAAGTGGTGATGGTGATGTTGGCGATGATAGTGGGGGTGGTGGTATGTAGTGGTGGCAGTGGTGGTAGATGGTGATGGTGGTGGTAGTGGTGATGTCGGCGGTGGTGGCGATGGTGGTGGTGGTGGTGGGGGTGGTTGGTGGTGGCAATGGTTGTGGGGAATGTGGTGGTGGGTGGAGGTTGTTTTGTGAAATAAAACAAGGGTAATAATGTAAAATGACATTTTTCTTCATATTCGGGAAATAATTTTATCTTCTTAAAGGAAAGTTTTTCTCCTATTTGATAGAAAGTTTTTTTTTTTCATTTAAGATTTCAATTATTTCATACAAGTTGAACCAAACACTTGAATATTGAATATGGTGGAATTGTATTTCCTTTCCTCCAAATTTCATTTTAATCCATCAAACCAAACGTACCCTTAATTTTTTTTCTAGTATATTATATTTTTTACAATTTAGTTAATTTCAACAAAAAGTCATATCGTACATGAACAATATATTCAGTTTTAATAAAAATATATCATAACTTAATAAACTAAATAAAGTATAAAAATAATTAGTACATTGATCTCATATTTGAGAATTGATTTACAATTAAAGTCGTAAAATTATTTTTCGATATATAAAATAAATAATTAAATTTTACTTTTTCATTTCCCTCCAACCCAATTTATCATACCCGCTGGTGGATTTTCATTTCCCAAATGAAATTTGCATTCCCTCCAAATATATATATATATATATATATATATATATATATATTATATATATATAATATTATATATAATATATATATATATATATATATATATATATATATATATATATTAATCAAATGAGAACACCTAAAATATTGAGAACGCGAAAACAATTCTGGACCAATCAATATATAATGGCATACTAGTAATTGTATATTTTAATTAAATTAAAATAAACTAAAATTCAATCAAATTCCCTTAAATTTAGGATCAGTTATACAAAAAAAGAAATAAATATTCAATTTTTTATTTTTTCTTATTAATAGAGTATAAAAAACATTTTTACCAAAATTTATTTTAAAACTAAAAAAAAATTCATACAAAAAACAATTTTTTTCTCCTATTTCACGGTTTTTTTTTTTGGTTAAAAAAATGAATAGAATTCGAACACCAAATTAGTACATTTGTATTCATAAATGATTTTTTTTTTTCAAAAATCCTGATACTACTCCAATCACAAATAAATACACATCAATTTACAAATAATCCGATTTCTTTTTTTAATCAATCGAAAATAAAAAGAGTGTAAAAATTATCATTTCTTCATAAAAAGAATACCTCTAATCATAAATAAATATACTCATTAACACATGCTTACACTGTTATTCACAAATGAATACAATGCTATTAAGAAATAAGTACCCTGTTCTTCTGAATTGAATAAATGATGTAACACCCCGTAATTTATTTCGTCGCTTTCAACCGGTTCCGTTAGTAAAACCGTGTCGTCTCAAATTTTACCGTTAACTTTGGATTAATTTAATCAATTGCGACTTCCATTTAAATCTCAAAAGTGTTGGGATATATTTTAATTCATTAAAATATTTTCTATTTTCATTTAGAAAATATTTAGTTTCGTCTAAATCGTAATTACGACAACTTTATCGGGTGCAGCCAAAAGCATCGTATAGCGTTAGTATCGGGTAGAATTCCTCCGTGTCCTAAACTTGGAGCATATATAAAGTTGAGATAGAGCCTCATTTGAAGCTTTTCCACTCTCTTACTCTCTCTCTCTCTCTAACTTTCTCTCTCTAGAAATCGAAATCAAGCCAAATCATCCAAATCAAGCTCCAAATCTCTAAGGTAACTACCCTAGCCTTTAGTTTAGCATTTTTGGCATTCAAATTCATTAAATATATGAGGTTTGGAACCATGAACATGTGTTCACGACCCTAGGACCTCCTTAGGCCGTAAACACATAAAATGTGGGGTTTTTGGCCTTAAAACCTTTCAAACTTCATTTGGAGCCTAGATATGCCTAAAGGACTTGCATGCATGGAATTATAATACCTTAAACTCATGATTTAGGGCATGAACATGAGTTTACGGCCCAAGCACATTCTTGGACCGTAAACACCTATTCTTAGGGAGTAAACTTAAATTTTGGTGTTAGTTTGTCCCTAAACACCCCTCAACAAGCTTCCATGAGTGTATAGAACCCTAAAATCCCTTAAGA